CACTAGTATTTAAATATATTTAAATATATTAACTAATATTTAAATATATATATATATAAATCCTGTTATTTGCAATTGATGGAGACCATTTTTATTTTTCATAGAGATGATAAGAAATGGAAATTGTTTGAATGCTTTTAAATATGAAAATTATATATATAATAATATAATAATAATAATAATATATATAATAATATATAATAATTATATATATATGAAAAATAAAAATGGTCTCTGTCAATTACAAATAACAGGATTTCCATAAAAATATATTTCTTCTTTCATCGAAGTTAAATTTTTGATTCAGTTCACTTTAACGCTATACATAAAATTCATATTCTAAAACAGAAATGATTTATATTTAAATAACACTAAACCGTCTCGATATAATTACAACACGAGACCTCCAAATAATTCTATAAAAATGGATATAATTTATATTTACCCATGTCTATAGGTGGCGGGGGTGGCAAATGCGCAATGCGATAGGCCTCCTCCTGATCGTAGGTAGGATCCTGGATCTCCATGATCTCCGGGCCGATTTTATACTGATCCTGTACCGGCGGCATCGACGGCGGACTATAGTTGTACGCATTGTACTTGTGACCCCAACCGACGTACACGTTAGCAAAGCGTCTGCGGACCGCCATCATTAAACTAACATTAGCACAATTTCCCGCGCATTAATTCGCCTTTAACGCCCCATAATTTCACTTTCCCCGGTTCGACCGCGATACCAGGTGATCGACCTGTTTCTTCGATATTCCGATGGAATTTATACCCGGCGCACCGGTCGCGTAAATACCGACCCCCCCGGCCGCGGCTAATGGAAAATCATTATCGGGCGTAGCACCTTCCGCAGGCGAACGCGAATGCACCGGGCCAAATGTTCGATCTGATCAATGCCACCGACAAATCTGTCATCACTCGCGACGATTGCCGAGCTGTCCAGGGAATTATCGAGTCGTCGATCGCGTCTTCCGATAAGGGCGTTAGAAGTGGTGGCCCGACTTCCTTTTGAGCCTTCGTTCCTTGGTCCTCTTCCTCCTCTTCCAGTTCTTCCTCTTCGCCGAATTCTTCCTAAAGTTTCGTGAAATACATAAATGAAAATTGTTACGCCAGCTTTTCCTATTTCGATAGCCAGTCTCAAATTAATCACGATGTTTTATTTGACGCCAAAACTGCCGAGCTCTAAAAGCGATTATTCTCTCTAATCGACTTGGAAACGAAAATGGACAATTTCGGAAGAGGATTTGCGACTCGTTTTTATAATTGTTCACAATCGGTAACTATAAAAAACGAGCCGCGAGGCTCGACAGGGTGTCCCAAAAGTGTCTCGCAATCCGGAAATGGGGTTTGCTGAGGTCATTCGAGGTAACTTTTTCCTTAGCGAAAATGCGATTCGCGGCTTTGTTTGCGAGTTATTAACGAAAAACAGTGACCAATGAGAGGCGAGTTCAGCTGGCGCGAGGCGGCCGAACCAATGAGCGGAACTGGGCTTCGTACACTCGTTCGTTGGCTGGACCGCCTCGCGCCAGCCGAGCTCGCCTCTCATTGGTCAGTGTTTTTTCGTTAATAACTCGTAAACGAAGCCGCGGATCGCATTTTCGCTAAGGAGAAATTTACTCTAAATGGCCTCAGGCACTCTCCATTTGAAGATTACGAGACAGTTTTGGGACACCTTGTATCTATTATATTATATATTATTATTATTATTATTATTATTATTATTATTATTATTATTATTATTATTATTATATATTATTATTATTATTATTATTATTATTATATATTATATATTATATTATATTATATTATCTATCTATTCGCTAACATTTTCCTCCTCTTTTCCAGGATTCCACCAAGTAGTGCGACCTTGCTTCAATATAAACTGTGCATGGTGACACCAGTTCGCCATAGAAGAGTCCACCAGCTCCTTGACCGGCAGAGGATCGTAATGCGGATTCTCCGATAGTGTTTCACCTAGATGATACAAAGCATCATCATTGCCATGTAATAATTTATTCTAATATCTAATCTACCTCTTAACGGTTCTGAAATGTCTTGTAAAATTACGTATTAGGACACGATTGAATCATTGTAATGTTCCAGCTAGGCTGCGGATTTCGTGTCGATACGTTGTTTTCGAGTCCATGAAGTTGTTAAGGGTAGAGACTGACCTCTAAGTGTAGCAAAATTGAACTTTTTACGATACTTTGTACAATTGATAACGTTTCACCTAGATGATACAAAGCAACCACGATTTACTCGGCTTCTCGCTGGTTATCGGCGAGTGTGTATTGCCATGTAATAATTTATTCTAATATCTAATCTACCTCTTAACGGTTCTAAAATGTTTTGTAAAATTACGTATCAGGACACGATTGAATCATTGTAATGTTACAGCTAGGCTGCGGATTTCGTGTCGATACGTTGTTTCCGAGTCCATGAAGTTGTTAAGGGTAGAGACTGACCTCTAAGTGTAGCAAAATTGAACTTTTTACGATACTTTGTACAATTGAGAATTTGTCTTCCGCATGAACATCCATAGTCTAGTTAAAAAAAAAGAAATTGAACAAGTTTTTCCGATTTCTCGCGTCTCTTATGGTCATTCGCATTGCAGAGGAGAAGCATCTGCATGTCTATCCAGTCCCCGCGACTTTACAGCCGAGAGTAGAACATGAAAAATCACCTTACAATATTTTGTACAATTGATAATTTGTCTTCCGCATGAACATCCACTCTAGTTAAGAAAAAAAGATTCCGAAACAAGGGTGAGGAAACGCTTCGAACAGAGCGAGAAATTGAACAAGTTGTTCCGATTTCTCGCGTCTCTTATGGTCATTCGCATTGCAGAGGAGAAGCATCTGCATGTCTATCCAGTCCCCGCGACTTTACAGCCGAGAGTAGAGCATGAAAAATTACCGTCTTCCGGCTCCTCGGCCAGCTCCTCTTCGTCCTCGCCGCCGAAGGTGAAAAAGCCGATCGGCGAGACCGAGGTGGCCGCGCTAATCCTGGCTATTTGCGACCGCAGATAATTTCTTTCCGCTCCGGGGAACGGCGGGAACGTGTACAGCTACGATTGGGATGAAAAGGGATGATGATCTATTTGACGAATCGGCGGGCAGGGCCGAACGGAAACGAAAGCCACGTACCGGCGTGTCCAAATTTCCCGTGCAGCATCGGACAATCTGCCGCGCGGTTAGTATCTGCTGCGGCGTCACCGGTGGAAGTTCGATCCACTTGTTCGACCCGGGCTCGTTGCATACAAAATACACCTGCAACAAGGTGCATCCCGGGAATCACGAAAAAGACGGCTCGCGTATCGCATCGCATATTAATACCGAGTATGCATGCTTCGGTATGCGCCGCGGCGGGGTTCTATGCAGTAGTCGACACGAGCGATTCTTGTCGAGAGAGAGAGAGAGAGGGAGAGAGAGAGAGAGAGAGAGAGAGAGAAAATCGAACAGGGACGCATTGGTAGCTAAAAGCGCGCGCGAAAAGTGTCATGGTCGTTTCCGAACGTCTCGACCTCGAAAGAAGACACCATGGAATCTTGTTAACCCATAAACCTCCGCGACCCTCGTCTCGTCGTGCACATAAGTTACCGTGATCTACAAAACGTATTATAGGCTCGGATAAAAAAAGGTCGAAGAACCATCATTTTTTAATCGGTTTATCATTCCGATCAATTGCGATCCGAAGAACTTTTTGCATTTTCTCATTCGATAGAAAACTAGTCGGTCTAACGTCTCAGAGATATTCAAGTCCTTGGAAGCAATTCTGAAGAAGTTATTCCGTTCGAAAGGGCGTTGTCACATTTTGGGCAGAAAAATTGACGAGATTTCTCGAAAGTCTCGTCAGACTTTCGGAATCCGAAAGATTCTCCTCTCGGCGAAAATTCGAATCGTACACTCTTGTCCATTCGAATCGTTCAGAGCCCGGCCGCTAAATTGTCGTTTTTGCTCTGCGTTATCGTTCGCGATCGAAAGCGGATCGAGGATCAAGAACAAATACAAATAGGGAAGCGCGTTGTTCGTTTTCCAACGATCTTGTTCGTTGTTTCATCAATTCCTAAATGACGACGCGACGGGAACAAAATGTTTACACGATCGTACCTTGGAATTCGCACCGGTCCCGATGCTCTCCGAAGGCACTTCCGGTGGCGGCTTCCACGAAGAAACAGGCAGGGGTGGAAACACGAGCTTCAAGCCCTCCTCCTCGTCTTTTTCCTTCTCCGGCGCTTCTTCGTCGCCGTCCTCCGCGTCTTCTCGTTCTGCTTGTGCAGCTGCTTCTTCCGCAGCTCTCGCAGCTTCTTCGGCTTTCGCCTCGTTCTGCAGCCTCTGGCGCTCCCTCTCCTCCGCCAATTTCTATAATTAATTTCCACTCATCCACGGGCCGGACGGAGCGCGACAAAAGCAGCGGAAGTTTCGTTTGAAATTGCATCAATTTTTTAGCCGCCGCGCGATTCAACGAGCCCTTCGGCAAATAAATCACCTCCAATCTCTTGCTCAGCTCCTCCGTTCGGAGATCAGCCTCGACCACGTAGTAGTTCCTCGGATTTCCGAGGATCTTTCCCCAAAATCTTTTTCGAACGAATTTGTCGATTATTCGTTATTTCCGTGACAGAACTTTTTTTTTTAACACGTTCCCTGCCAGACCGTTTTTTGAAGACTTTCCGTTCAAGCCGCGTGGGGCGTATGCGCCCCACGCTTTACATTTGTATTATTTTGTTTCTGGCGTATGCTTTACAATAATTAAAATAGTGCAAAAATCATAATTATCAAGGAAAGGTTGTATAGTTTAACATGCATAACACAGCAAACCAATAAATTTATTTTTCTAGGAATTACTTTAACAAATACCTGGCTGATCATTATTATGCCAAGCGAGTTGCATCCTCACATATAATTTTTTTTATCATGCCTATATTAGTTTAAAATATAACATTTTAGTTAAATTCAAGTTTGTATGCGA